CCTTAGCTTTTGTTTATCTGGGATAGTTATTATTTCTCCATCATATCTGAAGGATATTTTTGCTGGATAGAGCATTCTTGGCTGAAAGTTTTTGTCCTTTAGAATTTTGAATATATCGTTCCACTCTCTCCTAGCCTGTAAAGTTTCTGTCGAGAAATCGGCTGATCTCCTGATAGGAAATCCTTTGTATATTACTTTTTTTTGTCTAGCTGCCCTTAATATTTTTTCTTTGTCATTGACTTTTGCCAGCTTTACTACTATATGCCTTGGAGAGGGTCTTTTCATGTTGATATATTTAGGGGATCTATTGATTTCATTCACTTTCACTGGTATTTCCAGCTCCTTCCCCAGGTTTGGGAAGTTCTCAGATATTATTTCTTTGAACAAGTTCTCTGCTCCTTTTTCCCTCTCTTCTCCCTCTGGAATACCTATAATCCTTATGTTGGATGTCCTAATTGAGTTGGATATTTCTTGGAGAGTTTCTTCATTTCTTTTTAGGCTTAGTTCTCTTTCCTCCTCCATATGGAGCACTTCTGCATTGCTGCCCTCAATATTGCTAATTCTTTCCTCCATATTGTCAGCTCTGATGCTTAAGGCTTCCAGATTTGTCTTTATCTCCTCTGTTGTTTTTTCATCTCTAAGATTTCTGATTGGTTTTTTTTTATAGTTTAAATCTCTTTTGTGAAGAAACTCCTGATTTCACTCAATTGTCTGTCTGTGTTTTCTTGTATTTAATTAAGCTTTTTTATGATGGCTATTTTGAATTCTCTGTCATTAAGGTTATACATTTCTGTGCTTTCTGGGTTGACTTCTGGCTGCTTGTCATTTTCCTTTTGGTCTGGAGATTTAATATATTTTTGCATGGTGCCTGTTGGTGTTGGCTTACCTTTCCTCATAGTGAAAATATATGGGCACAGTTTCCTCTTGCTGCCGCTGGGTGGGGGTCAATGGCTGTGTATTCCAGCCCTCCTCAATCCGTGGGCACTCTTGTCGGCCCCTGGCTGATCTGCGGTGTGGCTGAGTGGAGGCTGCTGCAGGGGAAGCGTGGAAACAGCTGGAGCTGGAGTGCAGCTAGGCAGAAGCAGCTGGGGCTCAGGTGCAGGTGGGTTGAAGCAGCTACAGCTGAAGTGCCACTGGGCCAAAGAAGCTGGAACTGGAGTGCGCTGGGCCGAAGAAGGAGGAGCTGGAGCACCACTGAGGCACAGAAGCCAGAACTAGAGTGCACTGGGCCAGAGAAGCTGGAACTGGAGTGCGCTGGGCCAAAGAAGCTGGAACTGGAGTGCAGTGGGCCAAAGTTGCTGGCGCAAAGTCAGCTGGAGCCTGCACACAGGCCAAGCCAAAGCAGCTGGTGCTGGGGGGGAGGGGCGGTGGTCAAGCAGAAGGAGCTGGGGGTGGCACGTTCCAGCCGAAAGAGCTGGGGCCGTGGCACTGTGGAGCTGGGGAAGTTGGGGCCGTGGCTGGGTCCAGCTGGAGCAGCTGGGGCTGTGGCGTGGTGGGGACTAAGCTGCCGCTGCCTCTGGTGTGGGGGTGCAGGCTCTCCCTGATGCTGGTCAGGCCGGGCACCTGGGGGCTGCTGCCTCTGGGGATGGGGCTGAGCTGAAGCACCACTGTGCTGAAGCACCAGTCTGGCAGGCCGAGTGGGGGAGGGGCACTTACTGTCGCCTCCCTGGTCTCAGAGGTTTCTCGCCTTGCTGTTGCTCTCTGCTCTCCTGAGGGTCTAACTTGTTGAAACTACCCTCGAAACAGTTCCACTCCCTCTGTAGGGGGATCCCCTCAGGCTGTGAGGGATCTTTGAGAGTGCTGTTTTTCACGCAGCGAGCTGCTCCTTCCCCTCCTCTGAGAGCCGCATGGTCTCAGTCTCTGGGTCACAGTCCTTGAGGAAGGAAGGGAGCTCCTTTTACCTCCTTCCACTTACTCTGGAGATTCCAGCACCTCAGTCCTCGGGTGTACAGCTGCCTGGGTGACTCAGACGTCTCCTGTGTTGTGTGAATAGCTTCTGTTGGAATATGAATGTCCTTTTTGTTGTGTCTTAGAGGGAGAGAGTTCAATGGGGGAAGCTCACTCTGCCATGATGCTGACGTCACTCCCCCAACTTTTTTTAAAAACAAGTTCAAAAGAATTTCAAAATGAAGAGAAAAAATAGAACTTGTCCATTCAAATAACTGTTGTCCTTCAAAGTATTGTCTCTGAGATGTTAGATATTTATTGTAGAGTTGTGACAGTTTTTGACCTTTTCTTTTGAAAGTGCTTTCAGTGTCAGTTTAATATAACAAAAGAAAAATAGTTTCTTGCAATATTAAAAAAAACTATTATGGAAAATTTCAAACACACAAAAGTAGAGAGTAACCCTTATATTCCCATTATGAGTACTCTTATGTACTCAATACCCAATTTTAACAACTAGTATCCTTCCCATATTTACTGTATTATTTTGGTCTTTTTTCTGGAATAATTTAAAGCAAATCTCAGATATGTCATTTCATGGTAATGACTTCCTTCTTTAAACATATTCACCATACCATTATCACACCTAATAAAATTCCATAATATCATCAAATTCCCAGTCCTTATTCAAATTTTGCTGTCTCAAAACAGTTGCTCTGTTTGAATCAAGATTATAAGGTACATGTTTAATTATGTCTCTTAAGACTTTTAGTCTTCAACAGTCCACCTTTCCTCCTACACTCTTATTTTTAGATTTATTTAATCTTTTGGGGAAATTAGGTTATTTGTCCTGTGGAAGCTGATTGCTACCTCTTGGTTTTTTTTTTTTTTTTGGACTTATTTTTCTATTTCCTGTGAACTGTTGGTTAGATCTAAGGCTGAATTAGATTTGAGATCAACTTGGAGGGACCACAAAATACTTCACAGAAGGCGATGTGTAGTTATTATTGCATCACATCAAGAGGTAGATCATGTCTGGTTGTCTCACTTTTAGTAGTGCTAAGATTGATTGGGAGGTTCCAATCTATAAGCCTTATTCCCTCATTATAAAATTCAACATCTTTTTAAAAAGTAGATGTTATATATTTTTACCTCTATGAACAGCAGACACAGTCAAATCTTGAAGTCTTGCCCAGGGGTAGCAATCTTCATAATAATGTTGAATTAACTTTCCTAACATAGAACATGATTGAAGGTCCATGTCAACCTTTTTTTTTTTTTTAAGAGCACATTTCCCCCCCCCCCAAAGCCCCAATAGATAGTTGTACGTCATAGCTGCACATCCTTCTAGTTGCTGTATGTGGGACGCGGCCTCAGCATGGCCAGAGAAGCGGTGCGTCGGTGCTCGCCCGGGATCCGAACCCCGGCCACCAGCAACGGAGCGCGCGCACTTAACCGCTAAGCCACGGGCCCGCCCACCATGTCAACCTTTTATCCAAAGTATTACGGGAAAAAAAAATTTTAAGAGGAAACTAATTTTAAAAATTTCAAAATACAAATAAAGCTCAAAGTCATCTCAGAAATTATTACCATGTTTGGGAATCAAGTAGCTGGACTTGGGAGGTCTTTACAGCTACAAAGCTATAAAGAAATATCTAAGTCAAAAAAGAGTAATAGGGAGCTGAGCATCACAAAAAATAAAATTGACACAGTTGTCTCTTGGAGAAGGGACTGGACGCAGGGAGGGGTGAGACAAGGAACTGTAACTTTTCATTATAACCCCATCTGTGCATGTATTACTTCGATAGCATTACAAAGGGCAAATGTTGAAGAAAAGTAATAAATTGCTGAACACATCCAAAAACAAAAGCCTATTCATTATATATACGCTCCCAGTTTCTTCTGTTTCATTAGAATCCGCTTGGAAAATATTTAAAGGGGCCAAGGTCAATAAAGGCTCATCTGTTGACTGAAAATCTTCGAAAGGACTGACGCGTTGGAAAGGAGTCTGAAGTTTGGAGTTTATTTGCGGGGTTTTGGTTCCAACGAGCCCAGGTTCCGGCATTCGCCCATCCCTCGGCGCTGGGCCAAGACCTCCAAAGAGCCTCGCGGGAGGCGGGGCCTCGTGACGTCACAGAGACACCCGCCCCCTTACGTCGCGCACTAGGGAGGCCAGAAGGTTTCTGGCGGTATCGGCGCCATTTTGCCGGAGCCTGCGACCGAGTGGGAGTGGAGCGAGGAGGCCGTTGACTCTTTCCTCCTCCCCACGGTCGAGTCAGCAGGTTGATTAGGCCATAGGCCCTCAAGCCGAGACTTGTCTCTTATTTAGTTCTGGGGAGCGCCTGGCCGACATGAGTGATGTAGAGGAGAACAACTTCGAGGGCAGAGTGAGTACAAAGCCGCGGGAGCCGTCTTCGGCGGCGGCCCGATGCTCGGGGTTTCACGGGGACAGGCGCGGTCGGGCGGGGTTGTGCGGAGTTCTGCGGGGGCCCGTGGAGAGCAGCCTCTGGAGCCATCGCGGTTGCTTCCTCACATCCCAAGATGGCTTCTGGGTTCCACTTCTTCCCCAAACACCACGAATATCCCTCCTCCTCCTTTTTTGGAGACTGACTGGTACCTGGACTCCTGGGTCCAGTTTCCCCCGGCAGTGCGCCCTCCCTTCTCCCCAACCCTAAGGCTTCCTATCTCTGTTGGAGGTGTGGGTCCCCGTCGCGGTGGGGCGGGAGGAGACGGCAGGGAGTTCCCCTCCGGCCGCATAGTGGTAGGTGCTTCCTGCGGTGGCATTGCTGGCGACCCCGAGCACCGTAGAGGGTCTCGGGGTCGAAAGTGCGCGGGGCTGTCGTCTGGGCGGGGAGAAGCTGGCGTGGGACTAGCTGGGGCCTGTGTCTCCTTGGCTCTCTATTGCAGTGAGCGGCCGCGTCTCTGTTGGAACCGGCGGCGTTGCGTCTATAAAGGCGAAAGCCTTGAGGTTGAAGGTGGGACGAGCCCAATGAAGTGGTTAGTCAACGACCGCACCGACCCTTAAGCGTTCTTAAGACGAGAGCTGTGAGGGGAAAACTACGCGAGGAGCCCTTTTCCCTTAATGTCCCTTCTACTTTCTTTCACCTCAAAATGAATGTGGAAATGCTATAACGCCTTATTTTAACGCCTTATTTTTCTAATTCCTTGATGTTGGGTGTTTTTTTTCTATTCTTTATATCTCAGCTTCTAATGCTTTTCTTCCTATGACCTTTCATCTAAAAACTGACTACTCCTTTACAGGTTTTTACGGTAAAAAAAAAAAACAGGGCATCGTCTGTCTTAAATTTACATAACTGAACAAATAATCATGGCTCAGTATTTTAAAATAGCTAGTCAGTTTATATTATAACTCAAAACATTACCTGAAAATTACAGGTCTTCTCCCATTTCTCTTCTCAACCCATCTCCCAGCAAAGAGGGCTCAGAGGTTTTCATTATTTTGGGTCGATGAATATAAACATGACGGAGATACGTTATTCTCAGCCTAAATGTGCTAGAACGTTTATCAGTGTTTAAGTTATATTTCCAAAGTTAACCCTCGTAGTGGAAATTGGTGGAAGTGAGTTAGTGTGAAACCCTGAAAAGAAAACAAAATCTCCAGGCAGCATGTTCTGGCTGTTGTGTTGGTATTCTAGTCACTAGGGGAAACGCATAAAAAAAACACTTAATATGTGTGCTGGAGGGAATGTATTTTGTCTTTTTTAGAAGCTCATAATATAAACACCTGGAACCAGACAGCTGTAAATCAAAAGGTCGGTTTAGGCTTTTGTTCTTTTTTGAGGAAAGAGATTTAAATACGTTAGAAACAAAAAGCTACTTTTAATGCCTTTAAGATTGGACTTTTTAAATAAAATCTGGACCATAGCTATAAATGAGTAGTTGAATCTGCTCGTTTTTTTAGGATGAAGTGTTGATTGTCCCAACAAAGTTTTTTAAAATCCTGTAATAAAAATATTCGGTGGCAGTCGTAAGCTGCTTCTTGTTTTGAAAATGTTGGTTAAGGGAAGAAATTTTGGTGCCTATTAATCCTTCCTTCCATTAACTTTAGTACAAAATTTTTTCTGTTAAAATTTGTTTTGATTTGGTTTATGGGGAAATGAAGAGCACTACTATTTGAGGACCTTGTTTTCCCCTAAGTTCCTATTTTTTAATTAGTCCTCAAGTCGAGGAATGGAGCAAGTTCTAGATAACCACCTTACCCACCTAGGAAAATAATACATGTAAGAGTCCCACCCAATTTTAAGCTAAAATGTATGTAAGCATTAACAATTGATTTTAATAGAAAAAAGGTTTTTACCTTTTTCCCCCCTCTTACTTGTTTGTGGTTGTAGAAAATATTTTTTCATGCGTGAAACCCAAGTACATTTCAGCGTGAATGAACTCAGTAGATTGAATACATTCACGCTCACCTGTTAACATTTTTTTTTTTGGTAGGTTGAGGTGATTGTCTTTATTTGTAGTTGGTTAAAGAATTAGAAGAATGCCAGAAGCTTTTCTACCTTTTTTTATTGTTTCTTAAAGCAATTTAATTTTCACTAATGCTTTTGGTTTTTAAACTACGGTGATCTTTTATCTGCTAACCACAAACCAGTTTAAAAAGTTTTTATAGAATACAATTGTTGTGGTCTTGTCTTTGTATTTAAATGTAGTAACCTTTTAGAGGGGCTCAAAAAGATTTTGAAATGATGTTTTTGAGAAGTTTAAGTAGTTATACTTGAAACTTTTTGACTAAAACAAATTAGAGAAAACACTGACAGGTCAGTAAATGAAATTCAGATTTCATTTACTTTATCCACGAAATAAACAGGGCAGTTATTAACCTCATCTCACTGAAAAGATATTTAGAATTAGAGGGTAACTTTCTGGAGCCTGTGAAATACCTTAAGGAAACGACTGATAACTAATGGTTCCTACTTGTATAGCATTTTAGAATCTCCCCCCCCCCCCATCTTTGACATATTTTCTAATTTATTGCTCACATTTATCTTGCAAGGGCTGGAGTACTCTTACAATTTTAGATATTAAAAACTGAGGCCCAGTAGACCATGCAGCTAGGAATCTGAGATTTACAAGTCCCAGTCCATTGCTCATTGCATTCATACACTATGCTATATATATTTTGATTTACTTTTTTAAAAGGAGCACACTGTACTTCAGTGTCTCAGAGCCATTAACGGAGTTGGCTAAAAACAGTTACAGGAGCTTAATTTTCCATTATAGATTAATGTCTCTTCCATTTTAAAGGACTGGAGTAAAGGAACTTTAAGAAAGAAAATTTAATTGCCTGAATTTTGTTATGTGACCCTAAAAGTTAATCAACCGAAATTCCCTTCTGCCTGAAGTGAAACTGTTGAGCACCTGCTGCCTTTTTACTAAAGGCCAGGTGTTCTTGAGGGAAAGAAAACTTGGAGTCTAATTTGAGATGACTGACAGCTCAATTCTGGGTAAAAGTAAGTATATAATCAAGTGCTGTGTGACAGAATTAAAAAAATAAGGAATTCGGAAAATGGAGCTGAGCAATTTTGTGAGGGGATCGGGAAAGCTTTAACTAGGATGTAAAACTTGCACTGGATCTGATGATTAGGGAAATGAATATTAATTGTATGAGTGTGACAATGAAGTTGCTGGAATAGTGAGAGATGATAGATTTGACTAAATATGCAGGCAGATAATGGAGGGTTTTGAATTCTAGATTTAGGAATTTGGACTTAATCCAGTATGCAGTAAGGCGCCATCTATGAATTCTTAACTCTGGGAGTGGCATAATGAAAGGAATTTTAGCGAAGAACGGAGACTGGTACAGGAAGAGCAACAGGGCACACTTGAAATATTTAAGGAAAGAAAGTATGAAAAATTTGGTCTAAACAGGACAGCAGTGGGATGTAAAGAATGAGTGAGACATTTTCCGGGAGTCCAGGAGAATAGTGTTGCCATTAGAATAAATGGGTCCATTAAAGCAATTTGCTTGGGAGATGTATATCAAGTTAACAGAAATATTTTGAGTGAAAATGTCTTTTGGAGCTGGGAGTGAGGTTGGCACTTGAGCATGTCATCTTCATAAAAAGAATGAGTTGTTTGCTCATAAAAAGAATGAATTGCGTGCTTCAAACAGCTTCAAGTAATAGTGGAATTGTGATCTCAAAAAAAAATTGTCCTTTATAGAAATTAAGGATAATGGAAATTAAGCTTTTCTTATCACCTTACTTATTTTATTCCCCCTCTACCCCTAATTTTTAAACGAAACTAGAAAAACTGAGTCCAGTTTTTTTTCATACAATGGCCCAGTGTTTTAATGGAGGTTAATGATCGTTTGTCATGTAGGAGTCCATCTTATAATTCCACAATTGTCTATGCTTTGTAGTACAGTTGAAGAGAAAGATGCTACTTACTCTTGCCTCCTTTTCAGGGCTTGTTCTGGGTTCTTAAGTAGCTGGAATATTTTTAACAGACTACTAGTCTTAATATACAAGATGATTGGATGATAAAAGTGAAGAGGAAAACACAAATTCACCTGTATCAATTTTGAATTAAAATTTGTGTGTGTTAAGGTATTGTTCAAGAATAGCAGAAATAGCTGAAGGGTTTTTTCCTTCTCTGAAACCTGATTTGTAATAATAGGGGCGATGACTACACCATTCAAAACCCAGCTTGGAGACTGGCTCCTTTTACAAAGCCCTTAAACTGGGCTAAAAAATTTCTGTTGGTGAAATTTTAAAATAATAAATGTGAGGGTACTAGTGAGGTTTGCCCTCCCCCCCTTTTTTTTTGTTAAAAAAAGAATACAAATAAAATTGAATCCCTATTTTACAGATAAGAATGTCAGCGCTTTAGCTTTAAAAAAAAAACAGTTCAGCTTCTTCAGCAATTTAATTTCATATATCTCGTCACATCACCCTGTTACAAAAGAATAAGGCTTCCTTTCTTATAGTAGGGTAGTATTATACCTGAGAGAATCTTGTTTGTCTTGGGTTTATTTTCCTGAAGTTAAGTACTATCATCTATCCAATTTTAATGCTTTTTTATTCCACTCAATCATTTAAGCAAAAAGTTTGTAAACTTAAGGAAATATTTTAACGTTCAAATTTTTATGGTTGAGATTCTTTCACTGAAGGGTGCTAATTTAATTTGCTCAATATGGGCCGGCTCTGTGGCTTGGCGGTTGAGTGCGCGCGCTCTGATGCTGGCGACCCGGGTTCGGATCCCGGGAGCGCCCCGAGGCACCACTTCTCCGTCCAACGCGAGGCCGAGTTCCACGTACAGCAACTAGAAGGATGTGAACCTATGACATACAACTATCTACTGGGGCTTTGGGGGGAAAAAACTGAATAAATAAAATCTTTAAAAAAAAAAAAATAATAATAATTTGCTCAATATATAGAAGGCAGGATTTTAAAAAGGAGCAGTGCAACTAATTGTACCCATATTGCATAACTGTAATTTGACATATTTGTCATAGATGCTTCTTATGATTTGTACCATTCCTAAAATAAGAATAAAGAGTCTTGGGATCTGAAAGAATATCAAGGGATTTAAATATTTAGGAGTGAGAGTCATAAAAAAAATACAAATAAACTTTGTCTCTATGGACTTCATTTTGTAAATGAACTGATTTACCTGTGGTGTAACAAGTGTGAAATGGCTGTGAATAATCAGCATAATAGTTTCCTAGAACTTGCCTGACAGTGTGAAAACCTTCTCTTTGGTAGTATCACTCCCTCAGGCATCAAATAACTAACTCTGGGACCTTTGTAAAAGGTATATATTCACATGCTAAGTGAATTAATACTGTTATTTGTTCACATGTCCTAACAGATTTAGCAGGACAGAAGTGGAGATGAGAAAATGGTGAAGATCAGATGAGGAAAAGAATCAATAAACACTGTAAAAAAAAAAAAAGTTGAGAGGGGAATAATAAAAGGAAATGTGGTTTCCCCTCCCTCTTTCAGTTTACTGCCATATATAGTTGTGTGTAATCT